AAATATACTGATTGGGTCAGCATTCTATGACATTTCTTTGCTTAGCATACCTCATAAAAATCTATAAATAAAAAATGTATCACAACCGGGCAGGGTGGCTCAGGCCTGTAATCCTAGCACTCTGGGAGGCTGAGGCAGGAGGATCACTTGAGGTCAGGAGTTTGAGACCAGCCTGAGCAAGAGGGAGACTCCCGTCTCTACTAAAAATAGAAAAAGTTAGCCAAGCAACTAAAAATAGAAAAATTAGCCAGGAGTGGTGGTGGCAAATGCCTGTAGTCCCAACTACTTGGGAGGCTGAGGCAGGAGGATCACTTGAGCCCAGGAGTTTGAGGTTGCTGTGAGCTAGGCTGATGCCACAGCAGTCTAGCCCAGGCAACAGAGCAAAACTCCATCTCAAAAATAAAAATTTTTTAAAAAATTAAAAAATAAAAATAAAAAATATATCATGTTTTTGTTTTTGTTTGCTCTGGCTTTTTATTTTGTTGGTGGTTGGTTTTGCAGAAATATACTTGTTGAACCAGTTGCTGAACAGTTTCTCTTTCACATTTGTCAAATTAGACACTAATAATTTCAAATGAATGTAATAGCTGTGTTTTTATACAGAGTAAAATCAGGAGTTGTAAATTCAAAATATTACAAGGACCAGCAGGTAATTGTGTCAATCAAACCTAACATAAGACTACAGGGAGAGGTTGTGCTTGCGGCCAAATTGGAGAATATAGGACACACCTACAGATTTTCAAATTCAAAATTTTTGAGATTGAGCTGGTCAAATAAAAGGTACCTGTTGGCTCAGTTGGCCCACAAGCCACTGATATGAGGTTCCTTGTCCAAAGATATTTAAAACTTTTAGGGAAAAAAACTGATAAAATTGACAATGATTCTAGAGATTTCAACAATTTAATTTCTCTGTTGCTTAAAATAGATGAAGCTCTTTTTCTCTGACTGATGATTGACAAGTGTAAAAAAGATGAAATCATTTTGGATATAACCTTAGCTACAGATAGGAATTATATTCCATTAATAGCCAATGGCTGTGTTTACCCTCCTCAAATAAAGTTTGTGTCTGGCAATGTTTTTAGTCCTGATTAATGTTGCTATATTGATTCAACATGTGAACAAGGGTGATATTTGGGATATGGAGCATGATTTTTAAAAAGTTAAAGGATTTATAAAAGCAGGCCCTATATTGATTGACCTTTCTATCACATTATTAACTTGACTATACTATTTTTTAATGTGGCACACGTTTGGAATGTTACTAAAATGAACCTTTAAGATAAAGGAAATTGGGGACCTACTTATAGCAAATGTGTCCTTTTTCTGAGGAATATTAACTTGAAGCCTTTACATTAATGTTCAAGGAAAAAAATACATAAATAGATTCCTAAATTGGTAAAGGTTGCTTCATATTCACTCCAGGCAACATGAGGTAGTAGAGCAAACAGAGGTTGATGGGTACAGTGAAGTGGTCCAGAGACTTTTGCAGAATTACTGAAAAATATTTCTAATATAACAAGACAGAATTACAACAGCTAATTAAATAAAGGAGACAAAATAATTTGGGGGAAACCACTAGTTTCATTTCCTGATGCCCAAGAGATTATCCATTCTACTTTTGTGAGAGACAACAAATAAGTAATCAAGTAGATATAATTTTTTAAAGACCAAACTTTGTGACACATATGAGATTCATTTCACATCTGCAGATATTATACATAGTGAATCATACAAAATTAGTTACGATTGAGAATGTCGTGTATGTTGTTCTTTTTCTTGATAATTAGTTACCTACTTTTGGGATATAAATCAACTCCTGGTTATATAGAGCTGTCATTAACCAGGCATCTTGCTCCTTTTTCTGAGGAAATATTTGGGTATTTTTTGTACAGTATTTAATAAGCACCATATTTGTTATTATTTTTGACAAAACTACCCCAAACATCACTGTTGACACAATACATTCCCTCAACTGACAAAGTTATATATTGTGGTAGAAAAAAATCAAAAAGAAACATGATAGTATCTCTTGAGAAAAGTAATTTGTAATATGAATATTTGTGAAGGTGAATTTTCAACCAAAGGAATAAACTTTTGTTTCAGGATGCATAAAAACAAATGCAAATATTAAAAGATCTGGTTCAATTAAGATCTGAAATAAATATATATGAGAAACACATAAGCATATTATATAATATACCAATATCATATAATGTTCATATTAATAGTATTTAATATTAAAATTATATTTATGAAGTTTAATAAATTTCCCAAATATAAATTAGTTCTTGACCATAGAACATTCTTGATAAGAGACTGATGAAAAAAGCAAGATTCAACCAGAAAAGTCTGTCGAGAGATTAGCTGACAATATAAAGCAGTAGAGTCTGACATTCTTTTGTGACAATACTGTGAGATATAACTGATAATTCAGTTTCTCTGCCACAGTAGGTTGTTGCACATAATTATCCTTAGACCTCATCAGACCCAAGAGAAAGGCCTGACACACTGTAGGAAATTAGGTTCTGTGTGCTAAGTTAATGTCCCATCACAGCATGGAAAAGCAAGAACCTTTCTAAGCTGTGATTATATTAAGGGTTTTCTTTTTTTAAATGCTTTTCTACCATTAGAATTCTGAAAAATATAGTCAAAAAGTCATACGTAATCTCACTCAGATTGGCATACCTTTGCCTGGGATTCACATTGGCTTCTATCTTATTAAATACTCCAAAATCATAAGTCCTAGGAAGTCAGTGGATGTTAAAACACATTTTTGGTATTAATCATCAGTAATATAAAGGGAAAAGGCCAGTGGGCATGCACTGATTAAAGTTGATCGTTTCATAATCCCCCCAAAAAAACATGTACTGCCCAAGAGGATAAGCCCTAAAGAAGCATTAGCAAATCAGTATTTCACCCCATCATCTTCAACTATTATTGTGAATGAATTTGTGATTTCATCTGCAATCTATCTGTATCAGGGAAAATGCAGGATGCCAGGGGTTGTAATCTGTGATTGTGTAATAAAACACATGAAAGATTCTGATTGTAGCAAATATTGCTTGCATTATTTTTTGCTATCAAAGGAAATAAGGCTCTATACCTTTCTATATCAATACCGGGACATTCAGATAGTGAAAAGGAAGCGAGGAGACTAATTTATTAGCCTTACCAGACTAAAGGTGACTACTTTTGTCATCTATTTCTAATTGACTTTCTAATGCAAATAATTGCTATAGCTCATTTGTTCTATGTTGAGTCTAAATCCTTATGGGGAAAGCTTATGTGCTTTTAATGGGATTTTTTTTCTCCCTAAGACTCAGAAAGAATGTTTTGTCCTTCCTTCCCACCTGTGATTTTTGCTATAGTGAATACAGGAATAAGACAGTTGCCATGTTCAGTTTGTGATCTATCAGAAGTGAAAGTGGGCAGTAGAGGGTAAAAGCAAACATAGTGCATGGCAACGTAACAAATGCTCTCAGTAATGAAGACACTGACAAGGTAGCAGCACTGGAATGCAGTTCTTTCCAGGAAATGTGTACAAAAGCCTATTATCTAAGTATCACCAGGGTGTTGCTACTGGTGCCAACCATAAAATAGCACATCTTTATAGTTATCTTAATTGCCAAACTATATAGATAATGGATTTAATAAAGGGTGTTCCATCTGTTCCTGCAATTTCATTAGTTTTGCCTTTCATTAAAAAAAAAAAGTAATCAGGCCCCATGCACATCAAGAATGGATGACTTTTGAGTAACACATTCATTAAAAATAAACATATCAGGCCAGGTATGGTGGCCCACACCTGTAATCTTAGCACTTTGGGAGGCCAAGGCCGGAGGATTGCTTGAGGCTAAGAGTTCGAGACCAGCCTGAGCAACGGCGAGACCCTCCCTCTACAAAAAGTAGAAAAATTAGCTGGGTGTAGTGGTACACACACGTAGTCTCAGCTACTAGACAGGCTGAGGCAGGAAGATCGCTTGCACCCAGGAGTTTCAGGTTGCAGTGAGCTGTGATGACACCACTGCACTGCAAGGTGGCAAGTGATAGAAAAGTAGATTATGAAATAAGAAAACTAAAAAGCATGTTAAATGTTGTTTAGACTAAGATTTTTAATTCCTGATTCTGGCTGACCAAATCATCTGTATATGGAAGCTAGTGACCAGGAAACTGAGAACTTTCACTTAATGAAACCTTCCACAATTTATGCAAAGCCCAGTGCTGTATATAACTCATCCAAATCAAATGGTCCCTAGACACTGATCTTTGGGAAGGATGTGAGAGAATTACATAGATTCAGACTCAGGGCTTAAAGATTATTGAAAAATAGGAAGTTACTAAGAGATTACTGGGTCTCATCAGAGCAGACTTAAGTTACCTGGTTGATCCTAGAACTGTTCCAGCAAAACCGTCATGCTCAGGGCCAGACCAGAATATTGCTGGTCTCGAAGGGTGGGATAAATGAAGCAACATCAAACTAGTTATATTCCTTGATTTTTCAAGTAACACAGCTTTAGAAAAAACAATTCCAATACCACAAGTTTAAACTTATTCTGTTAATTCTAACGTTTCAAAAGAATTCTAGAACTCTAAAACAATGCTCAACCTAATACAGCATTCTATTGCCCCCCAAATAGGATTTCATATTTTAAATGGTGTACCAAAAAATATATCTTATAATCTTGAGGCAAACTTCTTTATTTTGTTATACAACCAAAAATCTTAAATCTTAGTACATTACCATTTTAATAGGTCACCTTTTAGTCTTTATGTGCAGTTTTCACATAGTTTTACTCAATATTTTAAAAATGTAGTTAACATTGTAGACATTTTAATATTGCTGCATACTCTTTGTTATCTTATTTGGTACAATATAATCATGTTCAGAGCTATTTTTGCCTATTTACAGTGACTTAAAGTGAACAGACCCACTCCCTCCTTCCCCCACCCACAATTTAAAATAAAAAAGAAAACAAAAGAAATAAAAAGACAACAAGAAATGACACTAGGTTCTAAGAGGAGGGAAACCCTAACCATTCAAGTATGGGGATGCAAAAGTTAGCTTTTTGCACCCATTCTTCATGCTACAGAATAAATTTTCTGAAACTAAAGCCAAGTATATTCTAAAACCTTTTAAGGAGCTCCAGTGGATTTCTGGATTTGTTCCTTTAAAATGAGGATACTCTGCCTTTGCTCAGGAGGCAGCATGGCAATCTGATCTGCAGTCAGCTGAAGAACTTGCATGATCAAAGCTGCCTTTTCTTGATCCTGTGGAGTTACCTGGCTCTGCCCAGGACTAAAACTGCTAGGCTGGCCTCCACCTTGCTTGCTTGCCCCCTGCATGCCCACTCCTTGTATGCCTGCCCCCTGCATTCCTCCTGCTCCTTGCATACCTGCCCCCTGCATTCCTCCTCCTTGTATGCCTGCCCCTTGCATGCCAGCTCCAGGATTCCCCACCCCTGAAATGCTTGGGACCTGTCTGGGTCCCTGAGGACCACCTGCCCCTATATTAATGGGACCAGGACCCTGGATTCCACCAGTCATAGGGCCTCTCGAACTGGGGCCAGGGCCCCTCATATCCAGTCCTCTTGCATCCATGCCTCTTGCTTCCATCCCTCTGGTTTCCATTCCACAGGTCTCCATTCCTCTTCTCTCCATTACTCGTGTCTCTAAGACCTCAGTTTCCATGGCTCGAGTCTCCATCCCTCGAGAATCTCTATTACCTCTACCATCCATAGGTAGACCTCTTTGATCTATCATGGGTCCTCTGGGCTCTCCAATTAGCAGTCTGGGATCTGCTAATGGCCCTCCCCTCATCTCGTGTGATGAAGGGCCGCGGCTGTCATGACCAGAGGCATGGTGCATGGGGGGACCCTGATGGGGTGGGCCCAGATAACCTCTGGGCTCTACTTCTCCAGTGACTGAAAGCAAAGTCCCTCCACGTGGGTCATTTGGAGCATCTCCTAACAGTCCTCGAGGAGGCAGGCCACCAGCAGTCATGGGTCCACGAGGTATAGGAGCTCTAGGATCTGACATCTGCACTTGCCCCCGCTCTAAAGGCATGGGGCCAACCCCTGGAATTCCAACTTGAGGCTGCATTGCTCCTCCAGGAGTTAAAGAACCAGGCCCAGGTCCAGGAACTGCAGCTGGCACTGGCCCCGGAGCTGGAATTCCACCCTGGATAGGAGTCTGCATAAGAGGAGGAATGTCCTTCACAGGTCTTCTAGCCAAATGCTGAGGCTGAGGGGCTGGAGGATTTTGCTGGTTCAGCAGAACATTAGGTCCTGGGCAGAGCCCAGGGCCAGGGCCAGGGCCAGACACAGACACAGACTGAGATTTGCCTGGGATCAGTGGTGTGACATGTATCTTGCGATGCAGAATTTTCAGAGCAATCTCTGGATCCATTATTCTCATCACTACTTGTGCCTGCAACAGCGCATAAGCCAGCTGAGGATTTTGAAGTAACATGTTTCGAGCTTCCTGGTGACTGTTTTGGACACAGAGCTTCATCTGCTTCATCAGCTCAAACATTTGCTCCGGGGGAAGACTGGCGACTGCCCTGGTAATCGATTCAGGGGCATCTTCTGGATCGATGGGGTCCCCATAGGGTGAGTCAATGATGGGCGCTGCAGGCCCTAGACTCTTTAACTCCTCTTTATTCTTTTCACTGGCAGCATTGTCCACCCGAAGCGCTCTCCCGCTGAACTCCCGCCCATTGAGGTTACGCATGGCACTAAGCGCGGTCTCCTGGTCTTGGTACTCGCAGAAGCCATAACCCTTGGGTTTTCCCGTCTCTCTATCGTATACCAGCCGGAAACTCACAACAGAACCAACCTCCGAAAAAATGTCCTTTAACTGCTCCTCAGTTGCCTCATACGGAATGTTCCCCACGAACACGGAACGCAGTGATCGATCCATCGCCGGGTCTCTCACCGCCAAACTCGACATGATTCCGGTTGTGCACACAGCCGATAGCGGATTCTTCTAAGAGTCTGTCCTCTTGCGACCCACACTTCCGCTGAGCAACGGAAGCGGCTCACAAAATCCGGGCAGAAACCTCACTGATATGCTTAAATAGTTCCGCTTGTCTGCAGAACCTGTATCCCATTAAGTAATTTAGCTAATACCTTCAGCCTCCGATCCTTCGTGGTTCTGTCAGCTCCTTATTACTGAGACATATGCTTCCTTTTCCACCTCTTAATCTGAAGACTTTCCATAGCGCCCCACCAAAACAGGCTTGTGGCGACTTGACCACAGTAAAGATGGCCGCATAGACTTCACCATGGTAACTGGCAGAGGACGCCTTTCTTGACGTCATGGGCGGTTTTGCTTCCGTTCCACCGGCGGGAAACCGCCAACCGAAAGCTGATTTAAAGCGGAGTGTTTTTCTTTCTGAAAAAGCGTTTTCATATAGCCGTTTCTGCTCATTATGGGATATTTAATATTTAAAATTACATTCCTGGCTATGAGGCAAAAGTATAGTCGTTTCAAAGCAGATTTCAGATTTTCCCTTTAATTTACAAAAGTAATGTCTCCTTTTAGAAAAACACTTTCAGAAACTAACTGCCTAAAAACATAAACTGAAGCGTGTGCCAGCTGACCCGCCCCCGCCTCGCTGCTTTGTATAACCGCTCTTGATAGGTGGCCAATCCTTCTAGGTTTTTCTCTGCACACAGGCAGCAGTTGTGCTATTCGTGATACTACAATTTTCTTCTTTAATAATATTAACAGATTTAATATTAATTAGTGATTAATAATAAATACCGTTTTATGGCTTCAGAGTATGGTTTAATTAAATTCATTTAACCCTTCTAATATTGTGAGCATTTAGATTTTGATTCTGATTTTTATCCTAAAATGTGATACAAGGAATCCACCATCTCTAATACGAAGGGAAAAACAAATTGTGTATTTTTTTTCTCTGTTAGTTTTGCAGGTAGAAGTTGAAACATACTGAGTGTGGGTTTCCCCCGCCCACCATTTGAAAATAGAACTGAAGCTTGGAGAGAACCTGTTAGGTAAAGTGCCCAAGGCCAAGCAACCTGAAAGGCAAAGCCAGGATTCTTACCCAGGTTGGTCTGGCATAGGTCTAGAGCAGCGCTATTCTACGTGGTAGCCACTAGCCACGTGTAGGGAGTACTTGAAATATGGCTAGTTTCATTGAGGAATTAAATTTTAAATTTTATTTATTTTTTATTAATTTAAATATAAAAGCTGATATTTGGCATTGGAAAATTTTTTAGTATTTGAAACAAATTAGGTATGGAATCTACTCTTGCAATAATAAACTTTATTAATTCTAAATAAAAATCAAGTACTTCCAGTTAAAATTTAACATTCTAATTGAGGTGTGCTATGCATGCAAAATATATGCAAGATTTTGATGATTACATACAAAAAAATTAAAAGTAGCTCATCAATTTTATATTGTTTACAAGGTGAAATAATTTTTTGATATACTGGATTAAATAAAATGTATTTTGACATTAACATCACTTGTTTCATTTTACATTTTTTAATGTGGCTGTTAGAAAATTTGGAATTACATATACAGAGTATGTCATGTCTGTGGACTGCACTGTTCCAAAGACTTTGCCTTAACTCTTAAACAGGAAATTATTTTATTCTAAAATATGCCTTTTGAGGGGATCATGAAACTTTGTTTCAGCAAAAAATTGTATTATCTATCTTGAGTATCCTAGTCCAATGAATAGATTTGAGATAAGTATAATGGTTAGCTACACATAAGATAAAACGTCTATTTACCTTGAAATATTTTAATAATTCTTTAAAACAGTCTTGGACATAGCTATTCACCCAAGACATATGAAAATTTATATCTGCAAGTGATAAGGTATTTATATCACCTAATAAAATCTTCCTGCTATCTCAAAGAAACAGAATAGCCACCTACTAGTAATGCTGTCTTCCCCCCAACACACGCCCACACCAATTCTTTTATTAGGGTCAAGGGTGAAAGGAGTTTAGGCTAGTATCATTTCAGGAAACAAAAAACAGATCCAAGGACAACTTATACATTGAGTATGTGTATAATTGTGTGTATTAAATCATGAGGATAGTAATAGGCCATTAGAATAAATTATAAAATTCATAGAACAGCTTTTCTGACAGAGTTTCTTTATTGCTACTGCTGATAATGTCTAAACCGGTGGTGTTTATACTTTAGCATGCATCAGAATTATCTAGATTCACAGAGTGTTTAGTCAGATTCTGATTTTGTAGGTCTGGAGAATTGTCATTTCTAACAAGTTCTCAGGTAATGCCGATGCTGCTGGTCTGCAGACCTTTGGAAATCATTGGTCCTAGGGATTTCAAAGTTTTTTTCTTCATTTTCATCTGGCCAAACTAAATTTAGTACCCTCTGTTAAAAATTGTGAAAGATAGGTTTAAAAAAATCTAATAATTTTCCATGCTGGTCTAGTACATCTAGTACTTGCTGATCCCATACTGAAGATGTCCTGGACTCAAAGATTAGGTGAACACAGAGCAGCTGAGGAACTCTGGACACAAACTAGAAGGGATAAGCTATGACTGTAAAATATGTTATTTGTCACAGATTTTCCATGTTCTCTTTAGTCCTCCTATTTCAAACTAGAGGAACGGTTTTATATGGCCCCTTTCACACAGGAGCAGTGTGACTCAGCATGTAACTCGATGACCAGAACACATAAATTAATATTTATTATTATATTAATTGAATGGCCCAGAATCACCAAGGGCTCTTAGAAACCTATGTACATTTTCTGGTCCCAATACATATTTTTCATAGCTCTAACTTGGAAGAATATCCATTTTATACTGCTTTTTTTTATCCTAATAAAGTTTAAACTTTAGATATTTATAGCATGGCATAAACTCTGAAAAAATGTGCATGGTATATTCTATATGTTCAGGTGTCTATTCTTCCAATAAGTCAAAATATCAAGTATACTAAGACTGATTTTTAAACAAATACACAATGGCATATATGGCTAAATGAGAGCTGTCCTTCAGACTGTTCATCTTCAGAAACTATAAACTTAATCCATTGTTCAAAATGATTTTTAACACATTAACTGCCATGTGAGTTGTATTTAACTCATGCTAGTTTTGAGACCGGGGCCTCGTGAAGCATGTATAACTCATAGGTCTCTTTACCTTGGGAGCCGTGTGGTGGGCAGGAAACTCACGCTGACATACTATAGCGTACATGTTACCTGATGGGTGGCCCCTGGACAAAACCCTGCAGGTGGTTTGTGAAAATCTTGTGTTTTTATTATTACAATTAATATTGACAATTTAATTCTAAAGATGTGGATTAAATGAATAGAAGTCAATAAATTCCATTTTTCTATTTATGTTTACCTTTAAATTACATGTAAGCCTGACAAGTCAAGAAAAACACTTTACCCTTATGAACTACTTTTTAAGTTTTCACATTACTTTTTATATTACTAATTTTCAAGTTTTTATATTAATTTTTATTGAAAAAACACAGAAAACAATAAAAAATAACAAATTTTTCATTAAATTAGAAAGGATCATTTTGTTTTTGAAGTTTTTGTACTACTTTCATAATAAAACACTGTGGCCCCAAGGAAAAATTTTTTTTTTCTAGTGTGGCAGTCAATGTATTAAACTCCTTCCCTGAAATTGCTTTGGGCCTCCATTTATAAGTTGTATTAGAAAATTGGTACCTTAATTCAAAAGTATACCTTGTTTTCAACAAAGAGCAGGATTAATGCAACTAAATTGTCCAACTTTCTGACCAGATTAGCAAAAAATATGATACTTAGCTATTTCCAAACATCAAAACTTACATTAGAAAATAAGGATTCTGTAGACTTTGAGGGTATTTTTTAAAAAAGATTCACCATAGATTAAGTAGACAAATTCCAAAGACAGTAACTAAAAATGTTTTGTGGAATGATAGGCATTTTCGAAATAAGTGTATGGGTCCATCAAGGTATAGCTCATATAGACTCTTCCACAAAGTTTTCCCTCATCTTCCTCCCCCATCCTCTAGCTTGGAAGTAATTTCATTTTTCTTTAGACATAAACTATTGCTTATCTGTACCTTTCTGATGATAGTAACTCTTTCACCTTTTAGTAGAATTATGATTTTCCTTCTAAACTACAAAATCATTCAAAATACCCCTTTATCAATTAACAAAGTGACTTACATGTATTATTTCATTCATAAGTATTTATTTCAAGCACTGGCAATACAGCAGTGTAAAAGGTAGAAGTTCTTTAAATGTGGATCAGTAGCATCACCATTGCCCAGAAACATCTTAGAAATACAAAAATTTGGGCCCTACTCCAATCTATTGCATCAGAAACAGAAGTCCCTTTTAATAAGCTTTCCAAGTAATTCTAATGCAGGCTAAAATTTCGGAACCACTTCACTACCAGGAGACAATCATAGCATGGATAGCATAAATAGGTAGGTATTATAGGTAAATAGATAGGTAATAGGTAGGTAGATAGATAGATAGATATTTTGTCTTCATGACTGTTTCCTCAGCACCTAGGGTAGAGTTTAGCACAGGTGCATGCTCATTAGACATTTGTTGAATGAAAATGGGAAGTGGCCTTAACATTTGCTAATTCTCAAACCCTTCATTTTACACAGTAGGAAACCTGTGGCCTTAGATAACATGCCCCAAATCAGAGAGAAGACCAGCAGCCAGGACCCCTGCCATTTTATTCCTAGGTCAGGGATAGCTCTTCACGTTACTATTTGATAAAACAGATATATAATGAAGTATGTAGAGATGGAAGAGAATAATAAAGTCTAGATCATCAAGGAAGGCTTTCTGATGGAAATGGGATTTAGGAATGGGTTATAATCTGGTGTAGATAAACACAAAATGAAGAAAATAAACCAGGAGCCAGTAGTAGCCAAGATAGAAAATTGGGAACTGTTGTTTTTGATGCCCCCAGAGGAAACCAATAAAAAGTTGATGAGTAGTGTGATAAAAGATTGGCTTTGGGACAG